ATATATATATATATATATATATATATATATATATATATATATATATATATATATATATATATCATCTAGTTTCACTTAATTTTCTTTTCTTTTTTTTTAAATAATCTTTTCGTTTAAAAGTCCTTAAAATATACCGCTAAATTATTTACGATGGTTTGCAAAAAATTTCACATTTTACCAGTTTGCAGTTTGTCATGGTTAGGGTTAGGGTTTCACATTCGCTACCTTTGAGGAATAGCGCATAACTTGACATTTTGATAAAAAATGAAGTATTTTATATAAATATTTAAAATAAATAAAGAAATAAACATAACTACAATTTGATAATTTCTAAGTAAAAAAAAAAAATTATTTTTAGGGGGATATTTTGCGGGGGGATTTATTCCTGGGGGGGTTTTATCTTGGGGATTTTTTCTCGGGGGATTTTTTCACAGAACCCCAAACGTGAGGGCACTGATGTAATAAAATTTCAACTTTGCTATCATAAACTAAACTTAAATTTATCAACAGATTTTAAATTTTGTAAAAAAATATTGTAAATTACAAAAGTTATGACCATGCAAAATTTCCCCCCCCCCCTCTCATTTTGAGGGGGTTGGAAATTTGTATATAGGTATAGGTATGAACAAAAAAAAAAAAAAACGCAGGAAACTTGCAGAAGACCATTTAGTTTTATCATCAAGAACCGTTGTAATAATTATGTTTTTACAATATTAAATTCCTATAATAGTGTTAAAAGCAAAACTTCATTAACTAAGGTAAATAGTGTTAAAACCACAAACTTTTCAATGTAAAAAGACAAAAACAAACAAACAAACAAACAAAAAAACGAAGCAGTTTGTTAATAAGATTTGTATACTTTGAAATATTCTTTTTTATTAGTTTTTGAAAGCAATTTATATTGTTTACACCTGGTAAATTACTATATTTTGCTAAGGTTTTATTCCAGATATGCGAAGCACGATACGTAATTTTAAATTGTTCTTGTTTAGTTTTACACAATGGTTCAATTACGCCTGTTGTGCGTAAAGTATATTTAATGTTAGGTTTTATTTCATAAAGATCATTAAAAATTGAGGGGCATTGTTGAAATTTACTTTTCTACTTGAGACATAAAATTTTATAAACGTTTATCTCGTATAACTAGGGATTGCAATCCCGCACACTTTTCAATCCCGCAGGATCCGCGCGGATTTTTAAATTTATGTGCGGATCCCGCGGGATCCCGCGCGGGATTGGTAGATTTCTTATGCACGTTATAAAAGGCAAAATGATAATTGTATTTTTCTTTCAATTATTTCAGAAAAAATATACTCAACTTATTAAATTGATAAGATGAGGTAAATGAAGCCAAAAATACGATTCATTTGTAAATCAATATAATTCTTAATTTAATGAACAAAAGGATAAGATAAAAATAGGTAAAACGTTTTTTAGTTTTACGTAGAGCGTCTTTTAGCTTTACTTATTTTTAAAAATAAGCATGAGAAAGTATCATTGTAAGAAATGCGCTCTTAACAAACAGACCCTACTTAAAGTATCGTATTATAATCTACTCCTCAAAGGACTGCATATATAGCCAGGAGCTGAAAAAGCTCGCTCGGCCTCTACGCTTGTTGGTGATATGGTCATCAAGTAATTATGAGCTATATCTAGAAACTTACCTCTTACTCCGTTATTTTCATAGGCAGATATTTCCTGCTTCAATAATTTATCAAAGTCTAAAAAATCTAAATTTGGTATCTCCTTTACATTTTCTGTCCAGCTTTTCTTGTATATTTTTCTTGTATATACTTTTCTGTATATGATTTTCCAATTCTGTTTTCAACGATAGAATTATAGGAGTAAGTATTTGGGAATTGTTAATAGAATCTACAGCTTCTTTTTCTTCGAGTTCGTTTTCTTTGTCTTTATTTCTTTCAATTGTATAAACTCTTGTCAATATTTTTTTTATTTCTTGACGCACAACGGTTCTCTTTGGCATTGAAAAAGTATTTTCATTTTTTTAAATTTCTTGTTCATATTTTTTAGGATTTTGTAAGTAAACCAGTAGTCCATTTAAATTCTTATTACGACGTTGTGTAAACCTCTCACGAAGTGTCGCGGCTAAATCAATGCTCAAAAGTGATGATTGCTTTTGTATTTTAACTAACATAAATTTAAAAGTTGCTTCCGCAGTGTCAAGGTTCGATTCTCTCCCGCATAATAGTTTGAGACCAAGTTTTAGTGGTGTCAGACAAATAATTAAGTCATTAATTTGGGACCATTCTTCAAAATTGATGTTGGGTCAAACGAATTTCTGACCCAACATCAATTAAGGCTTTTTCAATACACACTTTTAGTCTATGAAATCTTTCTAACATATCGAACATACTGTTCGACCTAGTTTTATATTCAAGAATCAACTTAAGCTTTTTGCCGTCTTCATGTAGGATATACTTCTGTAAATATGTATCATTTTTGACAGGAGAGTTTTTAAATATTTTCACAACCTTTCTCACTTTTTTCATGAGATCTTTGTAATTGCTAAACAATTCAGCAGATGGTTGGTCCAAAATTATTGTCAAACTATATTCTTTATTTATAACTTCATCATCATCAGTGTTCTCATGTTCATCTTCTTCTTCGCAATTTTCATTTGTAGTAAACGATTCTTCGACTTCTCCGTTGTTTTTTTTGTATAAGATATCAATAACTGCAAGTTGTATTCCATGAGCATAACATAGTTGATGATAGCAAGACATCATTTTACCGACTTTCACCATCACACTTGCCCCATCAGTGGTCATGGCGATAATGTCTTTTTGGAGGTCGATATTGAAGCTATTTAGCCTTTCTGCAACTTACTTGACGCAATATTCTGCATTACACGATCCATGGATTCGAATCAATCCAAGATTAAAGTGTTTTGCCTCCATATGTACATTTAAGTTAAGGTATCTCTGACTATTTTGTGATGTCCATCGTCAAACGTTATTGAAAACTTTTGATTTTGCTTTTTTAGTGATATAAGTTTTTGCATTATATCGGCTTTTACAGAATCTGAGAATTTTACTACCATCTATCTTATAGTAATAGGTGAAGTAGGGAGCCGAAAACAAATACCGCAAATCTGAAGATGTGCAAAAACTATTAAATGTAAAGCCATCTTTAGCAACCATGCGCGATATTATTTTTTCCATAAAAAGTTCTTTTACGAAAAACGTGTCTACTGTTTTGACCTTTTTTGATAGAATTACCTCTTCGTCTTCGCAGTCGATGTATATTTTAGACTTTAGTTCAACTGATTCATGCTGTTTTGAAGTTGAAGCTCCGTCTTGTTGTAAAATGTTTAATTTTAAATCAGTTCCATGTTTAGTTTTTAAATAGATTAATAACCCTTTTGTTGATCTTGACTAATTTTTAAAATAGCCGAACATAACAAGCACTTCGCATTTTCTCCTTTATTACTTTTTTTAAAATAATTCCATATAGTTTTAATTTGTGACATGCTTAGTAGGTAATTTAGTTTTAAAATCTTGATTTAAATAATTTTTAAAGTCTTTTTAAAAAGTAGTGCACTTTTTATTAATCACGTTTTCAATTTAACGTTTTCAACATACTCATCATTAAAAATTTCAATATACTCATTAGCAAAAATTTCAACATAGTCATTAACAAAACAAAAAAAATTTGAACGAGTTTCTCAGTATACATTTCATTGTGTACTTAATGAATTTATGACTAATCAATAACAAAACAAAAAAAAATTTGAACGAGTTTCTCAGTATACATTTTATTGTGCATTTAATGACTAGTAAACTTTTAAATGAATTTGTTATGCAAATACATTAAATACTTTAATTTGATATCTTTTTCGTCTTTGTTTATAGAATTGCTTTTTTTTATTTAAATGCAATAATTTCAAAACTCAGCAAATCCTGCGGATCCTGTAAATCCCGCGGATCCCGCAGTAGTTTTTGCGGGATCTCGCATGCGCTAAAATAATGTGGGATCCCGCGGGATTGCGGGATCACGCAATGCGGGATAGCAATCCCTCGTATAACGTAAAAATATTCATAATTTCGAACAGTGGTTTTGCATGTTCGTTTTTATTTTAAAAATTTATTATTCTTAAGGCATGTTTTTGTTTTTGATAGAGTGTTTCAAGCTTGCTTTTAGATGTACTACACCAGGCAATATTCGCGTAATTCAAGTAACTTTGTATAAAACTGAAATAGATTTGTTTTAGATAATGCTAATTAAGTAAATCCCGTGACTGATATAGAACGTCAATACTTTTTGATATTTTGCTGCCAATATAGGCAATATATTTATTCCAGGTAATATTTTCGTCAATGAGAACACCAAGAAATTTTGTGACTCTTTCGCGACTAACTTCTGTGTTTTCAATAACTAGTTATGGAAAAGAAATAGTTTTTTTTTTTTTTTTAAAGTGTGGAATAATGAGAACTTTGTTTTATTTGAATTAATAGAAAGTTTATTTGCATTGAACCATAGTGAAATTTTATCTAACTCGTTGTTCATTTGTACGAAGAGTTGAGGTATATCTTTTCCTGAAATAAAAAAGTTACTGTCGTCAGCAAACATTATTGTTGATATATTTGACGCTCTCTAGAAATCATTCACGTATATTAGGAAAAGTAGAGGCCCAAGAATAGATCCTTGGGACACTCCACAAAAAATTAAAGATGAATTTGTAAGTTTTTTATTTCTGTTATATATAGACTGTGTACGTTCTACTAACCAAGTTTAATACCATTTTTTATATTAAGCTTTTTAAGGGCCTAGTTTTTATAGAATTTAATTCCAGAAAATTTTAAAATTGATTTTTTTCAAAAAAAGCTCTTATTTTCAGTTGCTATAAACGTTTGAGTAATAACGTAATTATTGACTGTTTTTTATGAAACACAAGCAAACTAAAAGAAATAATTAAATAATAAAGTCATGGAACAATGATTAATTTTAAAAATTTAATTATTTTTAACTTTTGTATTTAGTTTAAACTGTGATGATAACATAAAACCATCTGATTGCGTTGATAAGCTATGCGTGGAGCATGACGACGATATCAATGGACATTATACTTGCGATAAAAACGGAACTATTATCTGCAAAAATGGATGGCATGACCCATCAAAGTACTGCCGTTCAGGTGTTATAAAACCATTAATTTTTATTTATAGTTTGTCTCATAGTTAGATTTACAAAAATCTGAACATACTAAATTTAAATTACGCACACAAAACTACAAAAAAAATAAAACTATTTTTTTCAACTTAACAATTTTTTCAACTTAACAATTTTTTAACAGTTTTTTTCTTTTTAATTATTTTAGCCGACTTGTGAAGTTTTTTTTTTTTTTTTTTTTTTATCACACTTTTTTTTATTTAACTATCTTTAGAGATAATGTGTAATCAATATCATCTATTTTGAATTTTCACTGATTATTGAAAATATCAGCTAATTTAAATTTTCAATGATTATCACTAAATTTTATTTCAGCCGACTAGTTTTTAATTTTAAAGCTTTTTTCTGGCATTTATATGTTTGGCGTCATATGATTCAAACGAATCCTAAATTTCAATTTAAAACCGAATATGAGAAATTTATATAACAATATAAACTTATATGTTTGGTGTCATATGATTCAAACGAATCTTAAGTTTCAATTTAAAACCGAATATGAGAAGTTTATACAACAATATAAACTTATATGTTTGGCGTCATATGATTCAAACGAATCCTAAATTTCAATTTAAAACCGATTATGAAAAATTTTTATACACAACCGAAAATATTCACGAAAAAATTAGAACCAAAATAAATTCAATCGAATTTTCGATCAAAAGTCATAAATGTATTTAGAGCCGAAAATCTTTCGAATGAATTATCAATGGAAATGTTTTAAATAATTTTAGAAACGAAAACGTAAATGAAACTTTTAAATCTAATAGTTGTCTAAACCCAATATTTATGAAAATTCTTTTGTTTCATTTTTCTATCAACTCATCATTCTATATTCTAAAAGCTCCATATATAATGATTCATGATGTGCGTTATGTTGAGCTACTGGAACACTCTAAATAATGAGACCAATTCCGCAAAAGTCTTGAGCTATTCATAAAACATATCAAGAAGAATAATTCCTTCCGAATTTTTTTTGGTTGTAAAATTCGGTTCTAAAACTTTCGGCACAAGAAAGGATTTGTAACTTGATCCTGCAATGAAAGTATACTTTTTGGTTCTAAATTGTTCGGTTGTAAAATATTTTGATGATATTTTTGAGGATAAATGTTTTCGGCTCTATCATGTGACACGTTATGTTTGAGTTTTTTTTTTTTTAATAATTGTAATATTAAAACAACAATAAACAATTGGTGCTACTGGTAACATGTAATCTAGTAAAACCTAAGAAGTAAACATAAGCTTAAAACCCTTTAAACAAAGTCAGAGGTGATGTATTGATAAAAATAAAACCCAAGGTGATGTTTTGATAAAAATACTTATCTTAGGTAGATTTTAACTGCATGCACATCCAGCTACTGTTTTTAAGACCTTCTAGAAAAAGACTTAAGAAGTGAATAATTCTGTTGACCAGCCTCGAACCCTTTCATCATCTATTAGGCTAGTGTAAATGTAAAGTTGTGTTACATTGTTTCCTGCTAGGATGACAAATGCTATGTTTTTTTGACTCTACTCATAGATTTTTGCTTGTGCCTCTTTTAATAGTGGCTTTGAAACTGAGTTTTAAAGCATAGTATTAAAGCTCAGTTTAATAATTATGAAACTGGCTGGTAGTAAATTTTTCAATCTGTGTGAAGCTCTCAAAGAAACTGATTTTATCAACACGTGTTAAATATCAGAGAATTATCAGAGTCATGTTGTGCAAGGATGATGTCCTTATTGGTGTTTTTGGTGTTCATTGTCAATTGGTGTGCACAAGTAACTCATTGCTATAACTTGGAATTAATTAGCGAGACTGAGACAACAACATGGCTCACTGCTTGTGATGCCATGCACTATTTACGATTGAGTCAAGTTCTCAAATAACTTAAAACATCAATAAAGTACTTGAAACATAACTGAAGTTCTTTAAAAAATAAAATATAAAAAACCAACTCAAAACGCCATCTAATTGTGTCAATTTAGCTTTTATGAATATAACGGGTGCGGCGTAAAGAATGAGACTTTTAAGGCAAACATATAAAGACTTTTTAAAAATGAAAAGCTAAAAAAAAGATAAACTGTTGTTCTTAAAATGAACTTTCTTTTAAATTTTTTAAGTTTATTTTAAGTTTAAAGTTTTTTAAAATCAGCCTTTCTTCATTCTTCTCAACACCATAAACTCGAGAGCGAAAATTATCAATTGAATCTTGAATCATTTTTATCGGTATTTCTTAAAAATACAATAATTTAAAAAGTATATATATATATATATATATATATATATATATATATATATATATATATATATATATATATATATATATATATATATATATATATATATATATATATATATATATATATATATATATATATATATATATTAATTCCAGATTTAAGCCTCAAAGTTTCCATTTTGGGTTGCTTAGAGGATTGCAGAGAATTAACATAGCAATAGTTGTTAAAAACAAAGATTCTCAATGTTTTTTTAAACATTGGTAAACACATAAGAATCAGATATCATCTAAAGGCTATCACAACAGTCGTGTTAGCTAAGCTAACACGACAGATAATGTGTACAGGTGATAAAAAAAATGTATGAATAAAACCAATATATCCAATAGCAGATGTTATCTTCAGGCAAACCTTAACCACCGCGATTAATCTCTCTGGCATAATTTCCAAACTGTTCAAAAAAATAATATATCTTCAATTGGAGGATCTTTTATACTGACATGCAATGTAAAACCAAAACAACCTAATATTTTTTAATTTCAATTCACTTCTCCAAAACCATAAAAGCCACTGCAGCCTTAGATAATACTTAAGTTGTGGTTACAACATTCTTTTAACTCTATAACTCCATAACAAGAGCCTTGACTAACAAGGTCGCTGGACGGAGAAACTGAAAATTGAGCACGGTACTACCAGGGACGTATTGAGAATCATACTTAGAACTTCTCGTTTATTAGAAAGCGCTCTACCACTACATCATTACTGCAATAAGAAAGCAATTTTTTGTTGTAGTAGTGTAAAAGCGCTCTACGCTTAGAAATTTTTTTAGACAAAAATTTTTCAATAACCGGAAGATTTTGAAACTTATTGAACAAAATATAATTTTGTAATACATAATTACATTTTTTACACAAATTGTTTGATGAAACTTTTATATCATTTTCAGTGATACCAATATTCAAATAAAAGTTTTTTTAATGTCATCTTTTTGTAATATTTGCTGAAAGTTTATAAAATAGGTACTAACTGATTCTTGTTAAAGTTTTCCATATGCTTTCTCAATAGGGCAACTAGTAAATGTGAAAGACAAACTTGTAAGACTTACTATGACTTGTAGTTAGTAAACTTTTTACTAGTTCAACAATTCCACGACATGTATGAGAAAAAGCGCGAGACGTACGTTTGGTTATACTGTTTGATCTATGACCAGATTTTTCAGGAGCCATCTTTTCGACAATATCAGTCAAATTTAAAAGAAAATTCAATTGTTTATCATTGTTTGATGAAAAAACAGCACAATTATTATCTCTAGTACAAATTTCTTTTAACATTTACAATTTTTAATAAAATGATAAAAATAGATTAAAAAACTGTAGTGTTGTCAACATTTTTTATGGATATTGATACATTTTGACGTCCAATTGGTTTAGGAAAATTTGCAATTGATTAAGTTAAGAAATTTTCACAACAGCATTTTTTTCAAATTAAAAAAGCTTTTCAAGACCTGACCATTTTGCAGTTTTTCAAATATCAATGTAAGTAAAATAAAATAAAAGGTACATATAAAATAAAAAGATTCTATATTTCTGTGTATAAATTAAAACAGCTCAATCCCTTAAGCTAGGAAAAATCCAGGTCATCAACAATGGAGACACAAAAGCCGATCTATTTTTGCTTTGATACGGCAAACAAATGCCGACCTGAATCTCTAAAAGTGTCGCTATGCAAAAATAAATTTATGTAAAAAATGAGTTTACAATTTATTTAATGTAGTAATTTGTATTTTTGAGCTGGGAAAAGTTTTATTAAAAAACTTTTTATTTTTTTATTTTTATTCATTTTTTCAAATTCATAATAAGCATAAGTTTATTCAAAAGTTAATAAAACTTTCAAATGTTTGTTGTTCTCACTCTTTTCTCATCGAAATTTTAATGAGATTATCATGTTGTTAAGTTTTAAAATAGTTTAACAAAAAAAAACAAAAAACTTTAAAAAGGTTTTATTAAGTTTTTTAAACTAATTTGCTTTGTTTTATTTATTATGTTAGGTAAAAAAGCTTTGTTTTATTTATTATGTTAGGTAAAATCGTTCATTTACATGATTATGGTTATTTTGATATTATATAAGATCAGTGAGTTTAATCAAAAAGTTTTTTTTAAATTTAAAACAAGTCAAGGTTTTTTATAAAAGTTATTTAATTTTGGCATAGTTTTTTACATTTAAAAAAATCGGATATGTGATATACCTTAAAGGTAGAAATGTATAAAACATCAACAAGCTTACAAGAAACTGTCTTGTATGCTTGTTGATATTATACTCAGAGTAGAGAAGACCGGGGCATGTTGACTCGCTTTTTTTTCTTGATGTTCATTTTTTTAGGTTTTTTTTATTGTTTTAACTTTTTTAAAAAAAAGGTTCACTAATCCTGAGAAAATAAAAAAAAAAACATAAATAAACTATTGATAAAAGCTTTTCAATACATTTAGAACTGTTTTTGTTAGGTTATGTTAGGTGAGCTAACTTACCCGTTAGGTTCGCCCTCATACAATTTAGGGCAGAAACTGATGTGGTAAAAAGTGCATCGAGCTAAAAAAATTTTCTAAATTGATGAAACAAAAAATTTTATAGCTTGCTGAAACGAGATTGAAACAAAGAAAATTAACAATTTCATTATAACAATAAAATTTTATAGCTTGCTGAAACGAGATTGAAACAAAGAAAATTAACAATTTCATTATAACAATAAAATTTTATAGCTTGCTGAAACGAGATTGAAACAAAGAAAATTAACAATTTCATTATAACAATAAAATTTTATAGCTTGCTGAAACGAGATTGAAACAAAGAAAATTAACAATTTCATTATAACAATAAAATTTTATAGCTTGCTGAAACGAGATTGAAACAAAGAAAATTAACAATTTCATTATAACAATAAAATTTTATAGCTTGCTGAAACGAGATTGAAACAAAGAAAATTAACAATTTCATTATAACAATAAAATTTTATAGCTTGCTGAAACGAGATTGAAACAAAGAAAATTAACAATTTCATTATAACAATAAAATTTTATAGCTTGCTGAAACGAGATTGAAACAAAGAAAATTAACAATTTCATTATAACAATAAAATACTAAAAAAAAAATCAAAGTAAAAGCAAAATAAAACAATGGTATTTAAAATTTTTGATGATTATAAATTTTTGTATCATTTAACAATAATAAAAAAATTAATCTAGCCCCTTGGCATACCTTTCTACACAACACATATGTGCTCACCACTAACAGCCTCAACATTTTACCCCGAATGTTTTTTGAAAAAGGTTTAAAGCAACTAAGACACAAGACATCATCCTCAAATATTCTTTTTTTTTCTTGTTGCTTTTTTTTTTTTACGAGTTGACTGGTAAAAATCTCGCGCGTTTTAAAGTTATTTGGATCGGCTTCTTCGATATAAAATAGTTTTTTAAATTTTAAACCCTTCTGTTTTTTTTTTATTTTTTTATTTTTTTATTTTTGATGCTTTCTGTTAATGTTCCAAAGCTTTTTTAACTGGTGTATCAGTGAATATAACAGTAACTTGTTTTCAATTTCTTGGCTTATTTATAGTGATTTTACTACGCTAAGTTTTTTCAAAAGGCCTCATTAATTTAGGAGATGGTGTACGTGAAGGGTTTAGAGTAGCACCTAGTGTCCCGTCTAAATCTGAAAAGTTTCATTTTTTAGATGTTGATTTGTTTAAAATAAATTTTTTGAGATTTTTTTATGTTTACAATCCACAGCTGAAAAATTGTGCTTGTTAACAGTCCACAGCTAAAAATTTGCTGCCAGGTGTTTGTTTAGTGATGTTAAAACCAAAAATTACTTTCAGAAAAAATGTTTTTTTTAAATAGATAAATATCTGTTGTTTGAAATCACTAATTGTGTTCCTTTGAGTTATAGCATTAGGAAGTGCTGTTCTAACTATACCAGGTACGTCATAGATAGTCATAGGTCGTTAATTTACAGTAACCCATTCATCACATGTTGGGTAGAAAAATTTTTGAAGTATATAAAAAAGTTTGTGTCTGTCATTCACTCTGTAGAATATGCTGATCCATCACATTCTATCGGTCCATCACGAATAAAGTGAGATTTAAAATTAACTCTGGGAAAGATAAAACACGGAGGTATACTATTGTTAATCGTACTAACCGCCAAAGCCATAGTCACTAATGCTCCTTTTTCTGTTAATGTTACTCGACTTACCTGGCTAAAGCCTCTGTATTCATCAACATGATCATGCTGCTGCAATGTTGTGATTGCAGTCTCATAAATGTTCCAAACGTCTGAGGCAGTTAATTGTGCCAAGGTTTTTTTAATTTAATTTAGGTGATAGTAAATCTCTCCCTATAGCTGTATTATCAGGATTATGTGCTGCGTTAGGCTTAAGTTGTATTATCATAAAACTTAATTATGTTATCATTGTTAGAATTTTAAGGAATCATTTGGCAATCAAGTTCTATTTCAGTTTGAACTTAACCATCAGATGTAAATGGCAATCTTTTAAATATGTAATACCTTCCTAGAGTTTTATATTAAATTCTCTACTAAATGTTCTAATTGACCTTATATATTTTGTAACTTGTATTAATGCCAATAACATTTTTTCTTCTGACATTTTTTGACGTTGTGACTTGCAAATATATTTTCGTACCAATTTTAGGTAGATATAAAGAAATAATTCAAAAACCAAAAGTGTATTACTATATGACAATGTTTTATATTTTTTTAAATATTTTTAAATTTATTTATGCACCTGCATGCTTTAATATTTACAAAGTTACATTTTACATTTATATTTTTTAAAGTATTAAATATTTATTTACTTATAAAAGTTAATAATTTACATATCATATGTCCTATTAAATTTATATATCATTTATAAATTTAAGTGTTAAGCATGTAAAATTAACTGTATTAGGTATAAAGTATTAAATTTATATATCATTTATAAATTTAAGTGTTAAGCATGTAAAGTTAACTGTATAAGGTATAAAGTATTAAATTTATATATGTAAGTATAACTAGTATTTTAACGTTTACTTATCAATTAAATTTATATATATTAATTATAATAAGTTAAATATTTTATATAAAAATAATATATAAATATATATACATATATATAACATTCAAGTATGGGTATATGTAAATATCCATATTTGAATGTGGGAAAATTGCCCACATGGGCGACGTGCTCATCTTATATCAGGCTAACCTGTCCCATTGTCATGTTTAGAGTATAAACGATTTTCTCCTTGAACTAATATTGTGCCCGACAACATTAAACATGGTCCAATAAATAATTTTTTTTTTCGGAAAGATGATTGAATTACTATCAAGATTCCCAGTTTCATAAAGATTTCGAATTAACATGAATGGGCCAACCTAGCTCGTGGGTCAACGTGCCCCGGTCTCCCCTAACTCCTTTTTTTTTGTACTTGACTTCTTACACAATACTTAAAAAAAAAGAAGCACAATAAGAACTAAAATAAAAATAGTTTTAAATTTTTTTTAGATGCATATTATTTTCTTTACTAAACAAAGCATTTTATTTTATTTAGTTTCATCTCAACAACCTTGTAAGTTTTATGTTTTTCTTTTTTTTAAAGTAGTATTGAAAGGTTGCTAATCTCCAACATTGTTATCCTAAAAATGCGTTAAAATTATGCGCCGTATTTTATTTTATTTTAATCCAGTCTCAAAAGTGGGTTGCTTTAATGACTTTGGATCAATCTCTGGAAAACGACCTTTTCCCAATTATGTTAATTACCGTTCTTTGATTGACTGGAGCAACCAAAAAACTAGCTTTGAAAATATAACAATGCTGTGTTCTTCTTATGCTAAAAACAATGGGTTTGAAGTACGTGAATTATATTTTTATAAATTTTAGTCTTAAAATAAACCCTTCTGCTACTTAATGAGAGTTTGAACTTAAATTTTGTTTACAATTTTTTTAAGTCATAGTTATTCATTTTTGATAGTACTTTGGAATTGAATTTTGGGGTGAGTGTTGGACTGGTGCAACAACTGATATAAACTATGCTCGAGACGGAGAATCTAATCGATGCTGGCCAACTCCAGATAAAAATTTGGGTCCAATGCTTGTTGGACAAGACTCAACCATTATGGTTTATAAACGCAATTAACAGAATTAATAAATGTTTTAACAAAAGTACGTATAATTTAGAGTTTTTAAAATAATTCTTTTATACATACATGTAAAGATGTATTATGCATGTGCAAAAATAAATGTTCACAGATTGGGCCGTATTCTCTACTTCGTTAAGCTAAACGGAGCGTTAGTAAAAAGTTTCTTTTTAACTACATTAAAAAAAAATCTTTTTTAAACGTAAATGTTTTATTTAAGTATTAATTTTATTTAAATAAGTTTAAATAAAGTTTTCCTCATTTCTTTACTTAGAAATATTGTGATGGAATTTCAGACAAAATCTCTGTTATGCTTAACGGAGAGTGAGTACGGCTGCTAACCTTTTAATAAACAAAAATAAACATTTTTCAAAATTTATATTATAAAATTAATTCATCAACAAATTTCAAACTTAATTTCAAAAATTCTAAAAGTTTCTAAAATTTAAAAATTGATGTCAAATTGATGTCAATGTATCGAATAATTAAAACTTGGTTTGCAATAGTTGTTCAAATGTTGCACACAGCTGTTTTGTTGCACAATAATTGTTGCAGAATTGATTGGTTCTATTTCTGAAACAATTGTTTTACAAACATACATTTTCTTGTACAACCGATGTCACGGTTTGTAAATTTGGGACCCTAATATCACTGAAATACCCTATGAAAACCCTTTTAAGGGGGGGTAGTACATGCCAATGGGAGTCTTTATTGAGTTGTTTTGAAATCGGGGATTAACATCAAAAAGAATTATTTGATCATGAAGGTTTTTTAAAAGGGTTGATTTATGAGCCAAATTAAGCTGCCTATTAATGGTACTAAACTTGCTCCCTTAATTTTTTTTATAAAATAAAGATTGTAGCCCATGAAACGTAAAATGTTTATTATTTTATTCATTTTTTTGAAATAATTCTTTATTGAGCGTTTTGATCAGTGCAAGCGTAAAATCGAACTTTCGAAACTAACGAAAAGAGTAAACAAATATATTCTGCGAAAAGGCAGTACACTTTAAGATAGTTTTTGAAGGAAAACATATTTTTTTGTGAACAAATATTTAAGAATTTAAAGATGCCTACATTTGCCAAAAACCATGAAGAATGTAGAAAATCTGTTTGTGTTATCTGTATGAAGAAAGGTGATCAAGAATTGACTAAAAACTTCTAAGCTAAAATTCTTCAACAAATTCAGAAAGAAATCAACTTCAATGATGACAGAGTACCATTGGCGACCTTCATCTCCTGCAGATCTCACATTGGAAAGCTGTGTGATGGTAAAACAAATGTTGTGCCTCAGATTTATGACTTTGAATCAATTTCGATCAAGCCTCTTACTCGTTTTTCTACAGTCTGTGAGTGCTTGATTTGTAAGATTGCTAAACTCAAGGGAAAAGAAAGGCATCCATTAAGCAAGGTTCAAGATTCAGCACCAAAAGTTCCCCAACAATCTTCGCAAAATGCAGAAAAGCATTGTACTAAGTGCTTGTCAGTTATTGGTCGTGGGTTTCCTCACTACTGCACTCCTGGAACACGCCATGAAAATTTGAGAAGAATGGCTGCCACTGATCCAATTGGTGCAGAGCAAGTTGCAGCAACAGTTTTGGCATCAAAAAGTCTCCTCATGGCACCATCAGACTCAGTCAACCTTGTGGAAAGTTATTGCCATTGAGAAAAGGTAATAGTGCTTTTGAACTTTAAATGATTAAATTAAAATATAAATATTATCTATTTATTTTTCAAAAACTTACTTAATTTAAACATAAAATTTTCTCTGCAAATATATTTGCAGAGAAAATTTTATTTTTAAATTAAGTAAGTTTTTGAAAAATATTAATATTTTTTGAAGGTCATGAACTATTTTTTAAATGCAATTTTTATAATTAGGACCTTCATCAGCACAGCAACTTTTCAAAGAGCCTCTCACAACGCAGAATATGGTTCAAATTCAGCAGAATATAGGACTTTCAAACAATGGGATGAGAAAACTTGGATCGGCACTAAATCAAATCAGTCCTATCAGATTGGTGGAGCCAAGTTTTCAGCAAAAATTCGCTCAAGCAGGCATCAAGAAAGATGACAGATTCTGCAATTTTGAAACTAGGGATTGATGGTGGAGGATCTTTTTTGAAAGTCAGCTTCACACACATCATTGTGGATATAGGTGAGACACCGCCACATAGCCCACTGCAGAAAACAATCAAATTGATGTCTCCACAAACAACTAAATCAACAAGTGTCAAGCAGCAACTACTGGTAGCAATTGCACAAAACACTCCAGAGAACTACCATAATGTGAAGGCAATTTTTGACCTCATCCAAGTACAAGAGAAATGTCAGATGGATTCTCTGGTCATATCATGTGACCTAAAGTTGGCAAATATTCTGTGTGGCATTCAATCCCATAGCAACAAATACCCATGTTGTTGGTGTGATGTTTCGTCTTTAAACCTCCAAAACTGTGGAAGTCCTCGAACTTTTGGCGAGATTAGGAGACAACATTTTGAATTCATCAACGCAGGAGGAGATACAAGAAAATCAAAGGAGTTCAAAAATGTAATTCACGTACCATTGGTTGATTTTCCTGATCACAAGCTTGTGCTTGAAGCTATCCCTCCAATGGAGCTCCATTTGTTACTTGGAGTAGTAAGCCATTTGTATAAAAATCTTTGCAAAATTTGGCCAGGGGCCGAGAAATGGCTAGCTTCACTTCATATTCCTATTCAGCCCTACCATGGTAGACATTTCAATGGGAATGACTGCATGAAGCTCTTGAGAGGTTTAGACAAGTTGCAATTGGTCACAGGATACAACAATTTTAGTCAAGCTCATGACTTCATGCAAATACTTGCACAATTTTAGGATGTGGTCATTTCTTGCTTTGGCAATAATTTGGATCCTGATTATGAATCGAAGATCTCCAAGTTCAAACAAAGCTACATCCGCCTACCCATTTCAGTTACTCCAAAAGTACATGCAGTGTTTTACCATGTACCTCAGTTCATCAAAATCAAGAAAACAGGTTTGGGTCTCTTCAGTGAGCAGGCAACAGAAGCTCTGCACTCCGATTTCAAAGTTCATTGGGAGAGAAGTGTGTGATCGAATACAACAGAAAGAAAATCTAGATCTAAAGAACAGTGTTAAAAAAATCCTGAGAATACTCTTAACAGATTTGTGATATTTTAGTGCCTTTATTTTGTTCCAGATGATTCGTCTCTAGAGAGCATTATAATTTTTAATGGAATTATAGAAATTGTTGTTTATCTTCTAAATGCGATCATTAAGAAAATAAATGAATAAAATAAAGAAGCTCCCAATTTATGTTTTTAACATTTTTTGTTTTATGATAAAAAATCAGAAATGTATTTTTGTACTACAAATAGGCTGCCAAATGTTGCTTAAAATTCTTATTTTCTTCAAAACTTCAAGGTAAAAAATCTCCATTGGATGTTAATGCAGGATTTCAAAATCACTCTGTATGGCCATCCATTGTTATGTACTATCCCCCCTTAAAAGGGTTTTCATAGGGTATTTCATTGATATTAGGGTCCCAAATTTACAAACCGTGATGTTAAAGTAAATAACGGAAAATAGTGATGAAAATAGTGATAAAAAATAAAATAATGATGACATTGTTTTTAAATTAAAGAGTTTAAATTTTGTCTAAAAGTAAACTAAAATTTTTTGTTTTAGGATGAAAACAATTGAAGCAAAATGAAGTAAAGATACAATTATAATTAAAAAGTGTAAACTTATGGATATTAATTATTATTTAAACTATTTTTTTTTTGATAACGCATAATAACTTTTATCATTCTAATAACGTATTGCGTTAAGATGTGAGTAGACGTTTAGTAAATATACTTATATTATTTAATATGTAATGAAAGTTTGCCAATCTATGATTGCTGTTGAAGCCGGTTTAAAATAGACAAGCGCACCAGGTATGCAACGTGCGTTTTAAAATAAAAATTAAATATTACAAATCTTTGTTGATAAACGGCGTGAATCTTCTCGCCTCACTTTTCTTTCGCAGAATTTGGCGGTTTCCCTTAATAACTTTCAAGTTGCTTTTTTCTAATTTTCTTTCTTCTGCCTTAGTGGCTCCTCCTTTTTTTTTGCGGTCCCAGCCAGAGTTTTTTTTTAAAGACAAAATTTTTTGGAGGTTGACGCCAATATAGAGGCGATAGCTATTCTTGGCCGCCTCTAATCATAATTTCGGAGACAAAATCATTTTGAGGCCACCTCCAGCGGCCTCTACCTTCAAGCTGGCTTCGGCCGCCAACTTAGAGATGGAAATATCCCGTCGACCAATGTGATAAAAATAATTTCACGTTTGTTTTTAAATTTCGAGCAAATAGAATATTAATTAGGAATAAATGTTAAAAATTTGACATCAACATTTTGTTTTCTATGATTTATTGAAAATGTTTTGACTAGGGTAAAGGCTCCTATGATGGCATACCAGTCATATTTCAATAAAAATTGGTTTTGATGGAAAATTGATTAGACCTACATGACTATACTGACTTTATATTTGTTTTCGCGAAAATACGTCCATTGCGCACAAATAATGTTTTTATAATCAGCAAAAAGTGATTTTGGGATGTGTTGTTGTAGTTTATTCCCTTCGTATATTTAAGTTTGTGATTTTATTAATAATTATACAAAAAGGGAATTTTCATGCAATTTATATGCAAGTTTTGTGCATTTAGTGGAATACTTACTTTAATTTTATCTTTTGAACAAGGCAGACACAGCTTGTTTTAGTGAAAATGATGACTTCTTCCTATGATGGCATACTGACGAGTTGGGTGTTGTGCAATATTTATGAGTTGGGAAAACCTTTTTTTTATAAGAAAAACTAATTTTTAAGTAAAAAGAAAGCGATGCTCCAAAAGTTTTTTTTTTTTTTCCAAAAAAAATATCCTATGCGTATGTAATTTATGGCTTTTCTGAGGGAAGACTCCAAATGAAATCATCAAGTTACCCTTGATCCAAACCAGCCCCATCCTCTATGCCATCATAGGAGCAGTGGTTGCCTATGATGGCATACTTGTGCTTTTTTTAAAATAGGAATAAAAAAACAAAACTGATGAAAAAAAAAAGCTCTGAGGGTTATTATTGTTCTACATGTAACAAGGAATGTATCCATATCAAAACTTTTATAATTGATCTTCAGGATACTAAATAATGAAGCCTTAAAGTTAAGTATGTCATCATAGGTGCCTTTCCCCTATTTATTATTGTTGATTAAAATAATAATTTAGTGGCAGTGGTTTATTATTGAATAAATGCGATTAAATCAAATGAAATTGAAAAAATATTTTGAATTATTTACTATAAATATTTTTGTCGGAGTGGTTGTTTATCGAATAGATGCAAATAAAATCAAACCAAATTAAAAATATTTTGAATTAATTACTATTCAGCAGACATTGTTTTAGTGTATTTGCAATGGACCAAAGCATATAGGCCTTTTTTAGCAAATTAGCGTTTCATTGGAGTTTTGCTGATTGAAAAAAATCATATTAGCGCTTTATTGGAGTTTTTATTATCATTTCTTAGTGGACCTTTAGTGGCAGCCGCTTTAAATGGCAAGACGATAATTTTGTTTCATGTTAATAGTGGCTAGTCATTACTAAACACTTTTGGCGGCTGCCACTAATGATCGACTAAGAAACGAAAATATTAAATTGTAGCTTCATATTCAAAACAAATGTTAAATATTGGAAAATTCATAGCTTGCAAATAACTTTTAACATATTATTAACGTCACAAAAAAGACGTCTTTTGAACGTCTTATTTGTCCAGTGGGCACCAGACCATAAAAAGATTTACAAAACGTTCAAAACGTTCAAAAGACGTTCAAAGACGTCTTTTTTATGTCCTATGCTCATTGGGGAGATAAATACTATTAAAAACAAATTAATTTTTCAAAGATAATCTAAGGAGGGTAACAATAACTTTACATAAATTTTTGAAACCTTAAAAGTTTTTAAAAAGATTTCAGTTAACAAATTTCGTTTTTTTATAATTTTAATAAAATGAACTGAAGTTGGATTCTTAAAAAAAGTTTTTAATGATATTTAAAGCTATTGTTCCAGATAAATTATTCGTAATATGATATTCAAACTTAGTGCCGGCTATCAAATAACGGCTGTCGAGTAAAATTGTCAAATCAAACGGCTGTCGAACAAAGGATTGTCGAATAAATTTACTTTATCTTTTCGCAATTATAAATTGCAAAAAGAAACTTACAACGAGTTCAATTTATATTTATACACAAAACAAAGAGCATTAAAAATCGTTAGCACGTAATTATTTAAGAATACTCATTTCGTATGAAAAGAGTATTCTTAAATGCTAAATGAACTTATGAGTAATATAATTGAAATATGGTAAATATGACCAAATTCAGTTTTATTATTTTGGTGTGAATTATCTTTCGAACGTCAAAACTTATTTTGATGAAATTTAAAGTCTATTGACAAATTGAGATCGTATTTAAAATAAAATAATTGTTATTTTTTTCCCAAAGTTTATTTTCACTAACCAGGAGGTTACGAGAGGCGTTTTTGAGGTTATTTTTGTTCAAGTTTTTAAATAACTGTCAGCTGTATTTTTTATCTCTCCGTTAACCTAATAAAATTAATTTGACCCTTTGAAAATTTTTAATTGCTAAACAACATTGTGAAGATCAGCAGGATTATACTACCAGTTTTTATTGCTTTTATTTTTTGTTGCTTTTCTTTAGCAGTCTTTTCCCTTTTTTCATTGGCAAACATCCTTAACAGCTGAAACTGCGAAATAGCCTAACACAATTGAATTTCATATTTGTAAAAATTATTAAAAAAATAAACCTCTTTACGAATTTTATTAGTTTTTATTGAGTTTTTGCCTAATATTCTACATTTAAATGTTTTTGTTGGCAACTCTAAAATAGTTTTTTGGCAACTCTAAAAAATATTTTGTTAGCAACTCTAAAAAATATTTTGTCTCTAAAAAATATTTTGTCTCTAAAAAATATTTTGTCTCTAAAAAATATTTTGTCTCTAAAAAATATTTTGTCTCTAAAAAATATTTTGTCTCTAAAAAATATTTTGTTGGCAACTCTAAAATAGTTAGAGAGTCATCATTAAAGTTTTTAGGAGTGATACTTGACAAAAACATGACATGGAGAGAACACATAAGAAAATAAAACTTCGAAAAATATTGGCATACTATACAAAGCTAAGCAAATCTTAAACTAAAACCGCTTAAAAATCTTATATTTCTCCCTCATACATTGTTATATAAACTATGCAAATATTGCACGGTGCAGCTATGTAAGTAAAGTTAAAAAATTGCTTAGTAGACAAAAACACGCTGTCAGGATTATTTCAAATGCAGGTCAATTCGCACATTCTAAAGAACTATTCAAAAATCATCATATACTCAATGTTCTTCAGTTAAACCTTTATCAAAGTCTTATATTTATGTACAAACTACATAATAAATTAACTCCTATAACTTTTAATACATTTTTCAATAAAATTAATCACGTGTACCCTACAAGATTTTCAAATTACAATTACGAGCAACCTAAAATACACTATTTGGCTACTAAATTTTCTATTGCCATCAGAGGTCCTAAATTATGGAACACTTTATTAAATAACCGGCTGAAAAATTGTTCTTCACTTTCTCTATTTAAACAAAAACTAGCCCCGGTCATGTAGATTTTATTTATGTAACACGGCATTGTATTCTTTTTTTTTAATGACAAATAAAAAAAAAATTAAAAAAAAAAAGTGTACAACTTTGAAGTCTATCGTTAAAAATGGTTATTAACTGGTTTTATTACTAGATTTAAATTAATGAATAAAAATTTTAAGTTCCATTAATAAAACCAAATAATAATCATATTTAGCGATAAAATCCACATAAAGGTAAGCAAGAGCCAGTTATTAAAACAGTTTCTGAGTCACACAATTGTGGCACCTACAAATCACAATACTTGAAGTATCTAAAGGATAAATTAGGTAGAAAAAATGCACGTAGGATAAGATGTTTCTAGTTTCTTATTAGAAAAAACTAAATATTAAAAGGCATTAGGCATTTTCTAAATAATTACAAAAGGCTAGACAACATAACCCAAATATACGGCAGCATTACCTCTTGGCACTAAATGCTGTCACAACTCGGCTAAATATCATCAGGCTGGCAAGGTTGGCAATCTTGCTTTACGCCATTGTACATTTTTTTTCAAAGAAAATTTAAGTTATCCGTTTAGCATAACAGCCAAGCTCTGTACACACTGCAAACTTCTACAATTGCTTGGCTAAACTCACGATCTTGCTCTCTGGGTTTCCAGTAAAAAAATTAACTTTATTGAATTTTATTATAAAAAATAAGCGTTTAACGGTAAAATTAAGTATATTTGTAAATAAAATATTGTTTGTATATCACTTATTAAATCCTTCAAAAGTTATGCTATTTTGTTAATCCAACTTTTGGAATTTTATATTGAATTTTTAAAAACAATTTTCTCGTTTTTTTTTTAAAAAAAACGTGCTAATTATGAGTTTCTTACTAATTTGGTTAAAAAATGTAATAAAAAAATTTTCAAATAAATAAAAACTACTACAACGATAAATAAAAAGTACAATTAACAGCTTAAGTCATAATATACTCCCAACTTGTGCTTTCAAACTATGAATTAAAATAAAATTAAATATGAATTAAACAAAATTTAAGTTCAGACTCATTAAATAGCAGTGGGGATAATTTAAAGACTAAAATCAAAAATATATATTATAACTCACGTACTTCAAACCCATCGTTTTTAGCATAAGAAGAACTATTCAAAATGAAAATCGAAAGACTATGAATTAGAAACATTAGGAAATATAACATTACTTATGTAATATTATTTATCTACCATACCTTGAATGGAATGTTCATCAATTTTAAAAAACAAACCATTAAATGCTCTAGTTCTTGAACATGCAACATAGTCGACCATAAGGGAAACGTTTTATATTGTAAAATATACACACCATCTCTATCAAATGTTTGACTTTTAATTTTATTAATTGTGATTGAATATGCTAATCTGACAGGAAACTGACAACTTTTCAGAACAAAATGTATATTAGAATCTGACGGAACGAAGTGAACTTGAGAAACCAAATACCCATTTACCAACTGAAAAATTGTAAAAATCTCTGCATTAATATAGTTGTTTTGAAGAGCTCAAACTTTTTTTCGAGTGTCATTCATAACCCAGCTTTGAGATCTAAATTTCTAACTTAATTACACAACCAATGTTTGATTTTATCACAATAAAGAGGAATACCTGAAGGAGTCATGTTTTTTAAAAACTCAACAGAAAATTCTTTTTTTTCATTAAGGTCATCAGGCTCAATTTGATTAGCACTTAAATATTAACTTTTCTTGGTAAACGTTCAAGCTCTTGTACATCAATTGATAGCAAGTCTAAATAAATAAATTGGGTGTTAATAAATTTGTGGGTGTTAATAAAATAAATTGTTTAGCATAATTATTTTGTTCAACATCTCCAAACATCATATCTACAATGGGATCGTTGTCTCTAATAATGCACTGATAAGGTTTTAAAGGATCTTCCTCTTTGACAGGAGTTTTTTGACGACCAAGTTTAATAACCAATTTTAAAATTTTTTTTTCCCTATCATGTACTTTCCTAATTTCAGCAATGCCAATACTTGCACACATCGCCAATGTAAAGAATATTTTATGTATGCTTCTAAACTTTAGGTGGTTGCCCTCTTTTCATAACAGCTAAATTTTTTTCCTCAAAAAGGCTTCATTAAAAAGAATAACTTTCCCTCTAAAAGGAAAACTTGCAAACATTTTTTAACAACCTTTCAATTGCATTTAACTTACGTTTAGGTATCATGGGTCTCATTAAGTAACACAAACTAACTTGCCTTAAATATCCATGAATAGAGTTAGGAGCAACATTACATGTGGTGTAACTCAATATTAAAACAGGAACTTTAAATAAGAATGAAAAGTATATCCATTTATAAAAAGAATTGCTGCTATGCAAGTCAAGTAAGCATCCCTACTGCTGATTTTAGCAATCAAATAATTATATGTAAACTTTTTCCCACTAGCAGGTGTATTACCCTTAAAAAAAAACAATTGAGAATATTGCTGATTTGATGCAAATGCTGTTAAGAGAGTAATTCATACCTTTGATTGATTTGCATTGTGCAGCTGTCTTAATCTATTAGCTTCGTCGATTGATTTTGAAAGACTTTTTAAAAAGGTTTCTAAATTAAAATCTATGAAATCATCATTAGCAGGCTGATTATAATTCACCTGTGTTTTACTACTTTATTTATAAAAATTTTCAACTATACGAATTTATTTAGCTAATTTAGGACTGAGTGATAAATAAAGTTCAGCTCTTAGAAGTTTTGTATTCTAAAGGTAAATTTTTAGATTTACGGAAGTTTAGATTAGTTAAAAATTAGTGACTAATTTGCTTCGGCAAACGTGATAAAATAGTCTCCTAAAGAGCATTCTGTCATTCTTGCAACAAATCATTTAATATGCATGTTTCACAAAACGTTTTAACAACTATGCCATTAAAAGTACGTACATCCTCTAACGACGTGGCTCCTTTTACTTGTAAAAGAAAGAATCTAAGTAAAAATAGTTGGATTATCTTTATACATCCTTACTTTCACTTTATTACCACCCGTTTGTGTAACTTTCCATTTGAAACCGTAAAGTTTCTTAATTGGGCAGCTAGATCAAAAGCAATCTTTTCTTCCCATCTTTAAAATACACTATCTGAATATTAGGAAGACAAACTTTAAGACTAATAAAAGTGTGTGACATATAACTAAGGGATACAAATATTCGTGAATTGCCTGTTCATCTATCAAAGTATTTGCGCAATTGCGACCCTTGTATTTGTTCTTGTAAAAATATTTAGCAACTTTTTTCTTACATTCAAGCTTTAACGTTAATGTGGGGTTAATATTTTTTGATAACGACGGATTGTAAGGTACCATCGAAAGGTTTTTGACATTATTGCCTTTAATATTATTCAGTTTTGTTTTGGACTTAATGTTTTAGTTACTACTTATAAAACAATGGTTCTAAGCACATTGCATTTCTTATTGTTCAATGAAAAAGTTCATTTGTTTAGCTTTCTATTGATATAAAGTTTGTTATGCTTCTAAAGAGATTTACTACTCGAATTTCAATTAGTTGTCAATGTTTTCCATCCAAATTTTATTCAAAAAATGGCAGCGTAAAGATTTTCGTTAAAATAGCTGGTAGCAAAAGAGTTAACCTTACGAAAAGTTTTATAAAAAGCATTTGTTTGCTTAACTTTTCATCCGGTTTAAATATTCTCGAAATTCTTATTT